TTTTTTTTTATTTAATTTATTATTATTATTATATTATTAATAAAATTCATTTCAAGAATATATTTTTTCTTATCTTGATCGATAAAAGAAAAGAAAAGAAAGAAAAACTTATATTTATGTATTCATGCATTCATAGATGTGTGTTTGGAAAGAAGCGCGTTATACACGCATTAAATTTGAATTCAATTTAATTTATATTAGTTTTTGTTTTTGCTCTGATAAGACTTTGTTGTAAACCACTTAATTTTCGTTTAGCTTAAATTTAAAAAAAAAAAAATTTTTTTTTTTGTTTTTTTTTTTTTGTGTTTATAGACTTTATTGTATTCAAATTGTATTAATTTATGTAATAATAATAATAATAATAATAATAATAATAATAACAATTTAATGAATCTTAAGTGGTGGTCACACATAACTACACGTGTTTCTTCCTATTTATTTAAATTTTTGTAGTTTTTTGGTTTCATTTTTTTAATAAACTATTTATGTTAATTATATATAATATTATTAGCATTTTAAGTCATTGTCACGCACCCACACACATACCAACAACATATATATATATATATATATATACATACATACATACATACATACATACATACATACATACATACTCTGTCTATTACTCCCTCAATTGTCTGTTGTGTGGGTGGGTGTGCGATGTAAATGTTATTTAGAGAAAAACTGTTTATTTTCGATTTAATTTTGATACCATTCACTCTTTGGTTCCTTCTTATCTTTTTATATAAACTATTAGTATTTTTTTTTTTTTTGTGTAAAAATTTGATTTCAATTCTTCTGTTTGTTTTTTTTTTTTTTTTTTTTGTTTTTCTTAATTTCTTGTAAAAATGTTTATTTAAAATTTTGTTTTTGTTCGTATCTTGTAATGAATTGAGAATTTCCAAAATAAAAATTTATTATACAAACTTAAAAACAAAAATTCTTTAATGCTTATTATTTTTATACTCTTTCTTATTAAAACAACATATAGTCTTTAGATAGAAATTTTGTGAAAATCACAGTATAATGTTCTGATTTCGAAAGTCAGGTGAATTCCAATCAACGACGAATAGAATGCCGAGTATTTGTGATGAAAATAATTGTGCACGCGATGAGAGCTGATCACTCTTTTCTCTCTCTCTCTCTCGCTCTCTCTCTCTCTCTCAAAAACCAAGTTATAAATTATGACACATTTTAGCAGACAAAGAGCTGCGTTATTGCAGCGGCTTCATATGCAGTCGCGTCTTCGTATTCTCTAAAAAAGCAAATGAGTCGAAAATTATGCTCGACAGAGGTCGATTTTTATTTAATACCGATCATTAGGTCCTTTACGTTTTCATTGAATATATCGGAAATGTACATGATACCGTATAAATATCATAATATGCGTGCCATTCGCATCATATACAGACATTTGGATATAAAGGCATCGAATCCGCTATTCCTATATAGTAAGGAAAGTTTTTTTGTATCTCTAGTGCGTACTTCTAGACGAAATAAGTAACTAATAAGTTGAACATACAATTCATACCGTGCCATCTATGTTCAGTAAAAAAAAGTTCATATCATCTCTGATAACTGGTAACTATTAGGAGGGCGTGTTGCATTTTCGTCTATTAAGTCGGATCACTGGCATATTGTCAAATAGGCTAGATTATTAATCGGGAATGCAAGAGAAACCTTTGCATTTTATTCACCTCACCTTTATCAAGTTTGAATAAATTCGAGCATTTGTCATTCCGATAGATAACTTAAGACAAGGGGAACTAGTGTTCAGAATTTTAGAACAGAGTTCTTCATACTTTGCTCCTTATATGGTTTCGGAAATTTTCTTTAAGCTTTAATAGAATAACCGATGGGTTCCTACGAAAATACCTTCGAATAAAGTTGACAGCCTTGCGCTATTCAAATAGTAGTAGTAGTAGTAGATTAAACACATCTAAGCAACTTCAAAAGATTTTAAAGCAATCATTCAATTGAATATGAGAAAATGTCTTAACCGGCAAATAGCAATAAATTGAATCACTGAAGCACAGCAGTTATGTGGATTTGTGAAGCTTTCAAATTATTGACTGATATATTTCGTGTATTATACGTAATATGTTTGGGATATTCATAAACAGCGTGGAATATATATATATATATATATATATATATATATGGATGGACTAATGGTCCCTCGGTTAGTATATGAAATATATCGGAATCTCAAGAACAGCAACAAAAGCGAATAGTCGTTAAGTTGTTGTGTAATTTACTTTTAACGAGTCGTGGTCAATGCGATTAAATGAAATGAATGAAACGCATAAAGCTTTCAATTACCATCACTAATACAATGTCATTCACACATCTATGCATTCATATCGTGCAAAGACATGCATACACGCAAATATTTAATGAAAATTCAGTGAAATTCTTTTCCGAAAAGTGTGTTAATAATTAATCATTAAATTTATAAAAAAAAAAGAAACAAAAGTTTTTAAATATTGTCTTTAACTGAATATTCACACACATACAGATGTATGCGAACAAAATTATGTTTTAAATGATAAATGAAATTAACGAAATAAGAAAATTGAAGAAAATATTTATAAAAAAAAAAAAAAAAAAAAAATTAAATTTCCGTGCTCCGTAATATTAAATGAGCATAGCTGTTTTTTTTTTTTTTTTTTTCATCATTTATCGTGTGACTGTAAAACATGTGGAAGTTCCTTTGACCGACTTAATCGATTTTCAAGACCCTTCTAACGTTTCCAATGCCAAATTTGAAGTCCACAGCTCCATTTTTGTCAATCGGCGAAAGTTTAGTATAGACATTATATGGACGGACAGACGAATAGATAGATATGCTTAGGTAAATTTCGTATTCATCACTGGTCAATCACTGGTACGGTGTCTCTGTAATTTCTTTCTGGAAATTACAAAAAAATGTGAACAATCAAATGAAATCTTGGTATTTTATAATATTGAGTGGGCGTG